CGTGATTTGTTGTGTTCTCATGACGATTCCTGTCTCAAGGGTTAAGATTTTTGTAACACTCGCTTGTTTGTAACACTCGCTTATCATGTACGTTATATTTTTATAATATTCTTAAAAGGAAATATTCTTAAATATAAAGAATACTAAATTTACCTCTTAACCTCTAGGCCTATTAAACCTATATAGTAATTACTTAATTATATTAATAAGTAATCTTCTATATGTCTATTATACCCTTAAGATAGACTTTAGTGCCAGGAGGTATAACACCTCTCCTATTACATGCATTATAATCTGCAGTGTATCGCTTCTCTCTATTCTGATTGACTTCGTAAACTCTTAAAAAGTAACAACGCCATTCCAGTGTCTGACTGGAGCCTACGATCTCTGTAGGTGCTTTTTAAGCACTCTTGCTGAAAATTGTGGCCTCGTTCGGAGGCTCTAAGGTGAATTTTTGCGGCGAGCGTTACTTAGCTATCTTGAAGAGTTTGAAAAGTAGAGACTGACCATTGGAGTTAGATCCACAATGGCGAGGAGTCAGGTAGCATGCTGTTGATTCATTGATGGATGCAGATCAAAATTGGGACAGTCTAGACTGACCAAGCTTCCCCGCGTTTTCTATGTAGACTGTTACGTGAATGAGCTCTAAGTATGGTTATCGATAAGAAGCATTATGACATCTTTAGACGTTGGCAAAGTGGGAGTACCACGAATCAAACACCAGGTCCCTCTTAACGTGCATAGTCGTGGAAGCAACTACAAGGGTAAAAGAACCAAAACCAAACCAAATGCCACCACCAATGATCTGCAACATTGAACCACCTAGCGATATACATTCCAGGCTTGCATCCAATTGAACACGGTATACGGTGTAGTAAGGCTTGATACAGCATAGTCTACAATACAACCAAGATGTCCTTGGACAGGAAGGGTTGTTTCCATGTGACGTGACGTACCAATATCTCATTTACCTAATCATCAGATCAGGTATTTGAGGAAGACTGCCCATGCACTCGCGATGATAGCGACCAGAAGGCCAAAAGTCAAAGCAGTGAACCAAGGCTTCGACCTCCTGCGAGTTAAGGGATCTGCGTCACAATCCTCGATCACGGCTTCTTTCGCCTCACGTTGGACTCGCGTCATAGTCATCCCCTTTCCTAAAAGTTTGTAGTCGACGATGATATATGATACACCCAACACAAAAGCCCAAGCTTTGATGCCAATGGCAACAAGGAGAACCTTGTAGTAACCGTTGTCTTCGGTTCCATCTTGTAGAACACCAAAGATAACATCCATCTAGAGGTATTAGCTTGAGTACTTAATGTTTGGTCAGTCGCTGAGCTTACAATAGTTGAGCCTGAATTATTGAATGCTCTCCAAATACCAAAAGCAGTACCGATCTTGGTTTGATCAGCTACCAAGAGAGGTATGCAGATCTGCAATGGCATCGAGTTAATAACCCCCGCTAAGCTGGAGAAAACTAGGGCGACGGTAGGATGGACGTCCGTGAAGCCTAGGAGAGAACAAGCGATGATCCATAGGATCGGAGACGCGGCGACATAGTGAAATCGATGGCCATATTTATCTATAGCCAAGCCTAGCGCTGGACTCAGAACAATCGGAAGAATTCTCTGTGCTGTCGAGAGATAGCCAGCTACTTCCTCTGTATACCCCTTCAGGAATATGATGTCGGCCGAGCTGGTATTAAATCCACCCGCTGCGCCGCTCTGTAGCAATTGAGTGGCTGGTAGCATAAGATATGCCCAGGGCAGAGTCAACAAAAGTTCCCAGGAGAAGTTGCGCTTAATCGTCAGATGCTTCTCAGTGATTGCTGCGTCGCGACCTGGGGTTAACCGGTACTTTTTCGGGACCACAAATCGTTCGAAGCAAACGTATGAAATGTTCATAGCTAAAGAAAGTCCGCAAAAGACAACAGGGATCCAGAACGTCCAACCATACCAGCCCGTGCGATCTCGGATTGGGATGGCGACCATGCCAGAGACGAGGCCGACAGTGCTAGAAATGGCACTCTCTAGCCCAAACGCCAAGGCAAGCCCAGAAGCACCGAACCAATGGTAGAAGAACTTAACAACTATTAGTACTTTTCCATGTGATGTGCAAGAGAATAGAATACCTTTTGCGTTGCGGAATCTAAAACCGCAATACCAAAGCCCATGAGGACATGCCCAGAAACAAGCAACCTCCAAAGTCCGATTTGGACACCAACAGCCGCAACAACGGATCCGACAAGGATAAAACTTGTACAGAATAGCGTGACGATGTTAGGACCCCACCAGTCCAGGATCAGGCCTCCAACAATGGGGAAAATGGTGTTGACAAAAGCATCTGCACTGCTAATAACACCAAATTGAGTATTGCTGATGTCTAGTTCTTCTCGCAGAGTGTTCTTGAGTGGGCCTAGGGCTGAGCCTGTCCAGGTATGCCCTATTGGGAGGGCAACGACGAAGCAAAGTGCAGTCCATTTGTACTTGGCGG